GTATGCTTGTAGCGATCGAAATTCGATGGGTGTATAAATGGACGTATAACCAGTTATATATAAAATGCTTACAACCGTGCAACCAAATAAGTGTTATTCAGCATGAAAAGTGTCATGCATGGGTGGTCCTAATGCACCCACCTTATAGTCCGGACTTGGCACCAAGTGATTACCATCTTTTCCTGTCCATGGCGAACGTGCTTAATGGTGAGAAGTTGGCCTCAAGAGAGGCCTGTGAAAATTGGATCTCCGAATTTTGCCAATATGGACGCAGTCTTCTACGAGAGGGGTCTAATGAAATTGGCTTCTGGGCTACAAGTTTACGAACAAAAAGGGGCAAAATTTAATTTAAATCGGACAAATGTACACAAAGTTATCATTTTTTGAAAAATTAATGAAAAAAACCGAACGAACTTTTTACTAATATATGACAGATTTTAAATACATTACATTCATATCTACCCACTAGACACCGGAAATCATCGAGATTTGAGAACTAGTATATAATTCTAAAAAGAAATACTACATATATGATATGGTCGTGAAAGGTATTAAGACTTCGGGATATCTTCTTTCTGGCTTATATATACATAAGTAGCTTTATCACAAGTCTCAAACGGAGGTATTTCCTTTTAAGGTACCAAAGCCGCTAAAACAGGAAAACTTAACGTCTGTTTCCGGTTTGAGCTGTGATCATTTGATGGGTTGCGTTCTTCCGTTCAGTTGTCATCCGTGGCTATATTTCATTTTTAAGCGCAGAGTTGCATGAAAAATTTTGAAAACCAATAAAAGAAACAGGCAAGGACAAATAAGAAATTAATTTATTTATGATCTCTAGAATGTCATATACTGACCTCGAAGAGCTCTAGTTGGAAAGGCGAAAATTTTAGATATAATAGAGTGCTGCCACCATTTCGAAAAAGTAGTCGTCGTATAGATCATCAAAACTCTTTTGCAAAGCTTAAGAGGACCTTGATATTCAATTTAAAATTCCTCAGAACAGCGACGCTCCTAGTTTGCTAAGACGAATTCTATATAGTGCTTAAAATGATATTGCATGTAATTCTCACTCTCATCCTTTTCCAGCTTTCTCAGAAGCTTCATAATAAAAACGGCTTCCGTCTTGCTTGTACTATTTCAGTTTGCTTATTTCGTTTCCACTTTCTCCTTGTGCTTTAAAGGGCAGTGGATATGCAGTTACTCATCCCTACTTCCAAGGATATTTCCTGACGTATTACATGGTGAGGTTATTGCTTTACTTGCCATTTTATTTGATGTCTTCCTTACGGTTTCCTATGGTGTTAGCAAACTCAGCGGTATTCTTTACCGCGAAGAGCTCGGGCTGGCAAACACGGCAGTAATTCGAAAATTAGAATAGTTGCCTGAGAGCTGTGCGTTTTAGATGACCATCTGTCAGCCGTTTTGTACGCTCCATCAAGCCTCTTTTAATGTGACTTGAACACTTTTTTCGCAGCCTCTTTTGTCCACCATTATCGAAGGAATACAACAGTAAAAAGTTTAACGAACTCTCTTGGGTTTCAAAAACTAAGTACCTCGGAGTAATTTTGACCAGCAACTGTGGTGGAAATTCTATGTGGAGCTCGGAGTATAAAAGGCAAAAGGTGCTTTTTGGGTATGTACGAAGCTGTTAGGTGGAGCCTATCGACTTATACACGAGCTAGTTAACTTATGCTTTTATGCGAAGTGTAAGTTTTCTAAGCCTGCAGAGCTGAATCATAAAATAAAAATTTTTCGGGTCATGGCCTACAAACAACCAAAATTATAGAAAGTTAATTTTTCTAATTGTGGTCGACACTAGGCAGGGAATGTCTACCTGACAGGTACTAATATTTGTTATATTAATTATAATTACATATATAACTGGTGCTTTGTACCCGCTGAAGCGGAAATTCCCTGCCGATGGTGTCAGAAATTAGAAAAATTACTTTTTGATGTTGATCGAAAAAGGACTTTAAATCTTGCCATCGCAATGCTAGCCATTCGGTTATTGTAGCTGAGATTATGTGTTGAAAGGATAACAATTCAAAAACATGCCTAGTAAAGAACACTTTTTGGGCAATTATTCACACTGTGCAATAACGAAAAGGTTAAACAACTTAACCAAAGAACCTTTTTATAATTTGTAAAAAATGTATGGTAAAAATAAAGGCAGGAAAGAAAATTTGTCTGGAAAAGGAATTGTGTAATTAAATAATTAAATAAATTTTATCAATTAAACAACTTAATTGTTGTGAATTAATCAGTTTGCGCCATATATAAGTAGACATCTTAAAATTCAACTGCTAATTCGAGCATTTAAAAAGGGAATAGTAAAAAAACAAAACATTTATTTTCGCTGTTTCATCTACAAATTAGAATTATGCTATCACGAAATTCCTCTGTTTTTATTTTATTAAGATCAGCAGATTGCAAAATCTCTCTTTGAGAACCGAAGTTTATGATGACGAGAAAAGGTGTGTTTCTCTTCTCAGCAAATATTGAAGGAGGTGCTCAGAGTACGAGGTCAATACATAATCCGGTATACTCTGCGAGAGATTAGATCAGCTGTCATGATTATATCCATTCAAAAGGTTCGAAAGAGTGTAGTAAGCGGAACAAAGTGTTCTCCCAAATCACTCCTCAACTATCATTCAAAATACCGGATTATTGCGGTCTGTTCGGAAGTGGAATTTCTGCTATCATAACAGCTTTAAAACTCTTTTCAACTCAACTCTCGGGAAGAGCTTTCTTCAACTGCAGTGACAGCACACCAACAATAAAAACTCACAAAAACTTCAAAATAAAGTTGGACTGTCAAAAATCTATTTAGAAAATCACCTCTTCGGTGCCGCTGGACACAGAGATATTGAGGAGAGCTGAAAGACATATAATTATTTCCGAAAAAAAAAAAGCATTGTGTGCCTGTTATCACCTTATTGCATGAAATCTGCTACTTAAGGGATTCAATTAAAGGAGTCTGATCGTGACTGCTGAGAGAGCAACACGTATTCTGAATCACATTGGACCACTTTACCTGTGCATCAGTCTATTAACTTGAAACTCATTACTTTTCTTTTATTTTATAAAGAGTCAAAAACTAAAAAAAAAAAATTATTGCGAGTTCACAGCATAAAATGTGTGAGCTTAATGCTCAAAATAATAAACAGTGGATATGCAGTTACTCATCCCTACTTCCAAGGATATTTCCTGACGTATTACATGGTGAGGTTATTGCTTTACTTGCCATTTTATTTGATGTCTTCCTTACGGTTTCCTATGGTGTTAGCAAACTCAGCGGTATTCTTTACCGCGAAGAGCTCGGGCTGGCAAACACGGCAGTAATTCGAAAATTAGAATAGTTGCCTGAGAGCTGTGCGTTTTAGATGACC